ACCAGCGTGTGATAATTAAGGGTTTGGTAGAAATCCTTCCAAAAAACCTCTGGTTAATGTACAGAAGACACTTTTTGTACGGTGCTTTAGAAACGATTATTATTACTAATAAAAATAATACCAATCCAGTGACAATAACGCGGTGGTGCCATTGAGTCCTCCCTTCCTTGCATAGGAGATAAACCCTCTGCCCCCACCTTCCCATTTTTCAGATAAGGGAGTTGAAAGACGGATATCCAGGGCAGATCTGTGGCTGAACCAGAATCCTGCATGTCAGACACCCCCGTCTCTAGATCTTCTGGCCTGTCTCTCTTGTTAAGTCTCACTCCTTGGGCTCTTTCTTTCTCATTCTAGTTCCGTTATGTCCTTTTCCTTCCAAGGAAATGAAAACAGCTTAATTTGTCCGCTTCCTCTTCTTCAGTTTGCCTACACATCAGCCCTGTGAGGTGGGCTAGGCTGAGACGCTGATGGGCCCCTAGTCAAACAGTGAGCTTAATAATCCAGGAAAAACTGGAACCCACATTTCTTTTAGGCCTTTTCCGGCAGTCTGATTGCCGCAACATAGTGGCGTGAGCTTAAGTCTGCTTTTTACCCGGAATCCAGCTATTCAGAGGCTGATTGGGAGGTGATGGGTGCTGATAAACAGATGAAAAGCTTGCTAGTTGTCGTGAGCTTTGGGAGTTCCCAAAACTCTCCGGGTTGGAAAATAATGATTCATTTGGCCTTTATTCTGACTGTGTCCTCTAGATTCGGCAGGGCTTCACTTTAGAAAGTTCAAACTGTTCTGTTTATACACAGACATTTGCAAAAGACGCAGAGTGCCAATTACTAGGCAGGTGTGGAAGGGAGATTTGGTGGTGGCGAAGCCATGCAAAGCCGGCATGTTGAGGACTGACAGAAATCTTTGCAGGCGTCGGACGGGAGAACAGCGCTGTTCTGGCCAACCCCAGGTCTTCACGTCTGCACATATGAAGGTCTGCATTCACGAACTCGGCCAGGCCCTGAATAAAACTTGGCAAACCATGGTTTATTGGCAAACCATGTTATGCAACCGGCAGACCAATATCAGAGGACATGGTTTAGGGTTGCAAACCAGGTTTGTGCTAAGATCTGGCGTGGCATCTCAGCTGGCAGACCATGATTATGCTTGAGGCCTGGAGAGCAGAAGGCACTTAACCCAAAGCCATCAAATAACTCTAAATCGCAGCTTATTTTCGGGAGGGCAAACTACAGCTTGGCCTGATTTCTGAATTTCCTCTGCAGAAGTGTCTCTAGCATCCACATTCTGCAGTTGGAAGGTGCTTAGGCACCTGGGAGGGCCTGGTTTGGCTTTTTCCAGCCGGTCCCCTAGTAGCATCCAGCTGAGTTCCAAGACGTCATCCGAGGGCAGGGAAGGTATGCAGTGCAGCCACTCCAGAAACCCACATGGGCTTAGCTCCTTGGGTTTGCTCATCCAGCAGGAACTGGGTAGAACGATGAGGTGTGCCAGGTATGAGCTCCAGTCTACCTAAGCTGGGCCTCTGAACTTTTCCTCATCCGGGTGAGCGAGAAAACCTTTCTCCTAGCCGTGAGTCATTTCTGCAGGCTACGAAAGATGCCTGAGATCGAGGCAAACTACAGTTCACAGGAAGGATGAAGAAACATGTTGGGGGGGTCCGGCTTTGGAAGCAGGCTTCCTTCCCAGCGCTTCTCCAAATGCTTTGCATTTGGTCTTGAGCCTGTTTTAATTCTTGGCCACTGCAAAAGCACCCACTGCATTCCCAGATAAACTGGTCTGCCTCTTCCCTCCCCCACCTAACCTGCCCTGCAACATGGTTAGCTTTATGGATGCATCCCTGTCTTTCTCTCCTCCTGCTCCTTTTTCTCTCCCTCTTTCTTCCTACCCTAGCTTGGAGGAAGGATTACTCCTGCCAATTTTGAAATTGGACCAAGAGCTTCATGAACTTAGGTCAACTTACTCATCCCTGTTTTAAAGCTTTGAGAAACCTGCATCCCAGGTACATGGCGGGCACCTTGCCAGGTATTTAAGGTAATTGGGAAATACCTTGTTTCAGGTGTTCCCACTGTCAGCAGTGGGAGGGGAAGGGGATCTTCCCCCAATAACAGGGCCTTTTTGGTGGTGACATCTTGATTGAGGAATTCCTTCTACAGGGAGATCCATCAGGTCCATGCTGTGGCAGTCATTTAGGGGTTTGTTAAAAATGTAAATGGCCTAGAAAAGCAAATGAGGAAATTTTTTTGATACCACTGCTTGCAAAGAAAGTGTTGGTTGTCTTCTAGGGGCATTTGTTGGTTGTTGATGCAGCTTTGTTGGCTGTTGTTTTTGCGGTTCTGCTGTGAGCTTCTTTGGTGGGTTAGTTGAACCCTTCTGGAAATTTTTGTGTGTGGGAACACAACATGTCTTTTTGGCTTGGCAAAACATCAGCATTCTATTGTTCGTGCAAAACCTCGGCTAGCTTTTCTTCCTGAGAAGTTTTCCGTCCTTGGGAGCATCTCCCTCCCTCCCCCACCACCCCAAGGGCTAGTTTATCTTCTGCCAGAGAAATCCAGAATTCAGTTTGCTAGGAGAAGGGATTTCTGGACTCTCTCCGCAACATACGAATGGATTGCATCATAACTGTAGGATCTTAGCTGGGGGGGCGGGGGAACCAAGCATGCATCCAGCCCTTAAGTCTGCGGAAGAAAATTCCTGGTATTCAGTCTGAGCGGAATTCGTGCTGGGTTTGTGATTTCACATTCTTGCATAATCTAGGGCGTCCCAAGGTTTTTAGGACTGGGGCTCGGGACGGCTGCAGGTTTGCCGAACGCAGCCGAAGAGGGCTTGCAGGAGGCACGGTTGGGGCTTGCTTTGTCGCAAGGCTTTTGGCATGCTTGTGCGCAGTTGTGTAATACCGCACACGGTAGTGTGGCTTGATTTTAGTCACGTGGGCCCGCCTCCCCCCCCGCCTCCCAGCAAAGCGGATTCCATCGCTTGCTGCTTCCGTCTGGGGCTTGATATCCATCCCGGCTGGGCTGCACAGACAGTCCGGTGACGCGCTGCCGTGTCACATGCAAGGGAGCGGCCCCAGCGCCGCTTCCGAGGTTGGCTGCCGCCCAGGTGACCTGCCGCATCGCATTCCAGACTGCACAGCAGGGAGACACGTGCTTGAGGACTAGCACCCCCCTCCTCCCACTTGCTGTTTTCAGCAGAGAGTCCTTCTCTGCAGCCGGGTGCCAAGTAACCTGTCTCTCGCCCTGTTTTCCCTGGCGGGCTGGGTTTGGGGATGGTCTCCTGAGCATTGCAGGGCTGATGTACAAATGCAGTTAGACCCAGTGAAGAGGCCTCCAAGCTCCTGTGTTCTGGGATGGTAGGTAGCCTTGCTGGGAAGCTGTTCATCAGCATCAGGCTGTCCCTGTTGGAAACAGGAGACTGGGTTAGTCTGAGACTAAATGGAAGGATTGAATTAGTTTAGGGCACTCCTGCCCAAACACTGGCTGTTAGTTGTCATGTAGACTAGAAGAGGTATTTCCATGTGTTTGGGGCCTATTGGAGGAGTAGAATTTATAATTATTTGTATTCATTGTAACAAATTTATTTTATCATCTTTCTATAGCCAAAGGGCCAAGGGTAACGTGCATTAGTAATGCAACAGTAAAACAGGTTAAAAGATACTTTTAAAAGCAGCAACAAGGGTTTGAGATCTTTTTAGCAAACTTTATATTCATGCAGCTGAACTAGGGAGAAAGGCAAATTTAAAATGCAGCATTCAAAATGATATTAAAGAACAAGCGGCCGTTAAGAATTCCTTTTCTAGGGGAATCAGAAGCTTTCTGGCAGGCGGGAAGGCAGGCAATCATCAGCTCTGTAGCCACCACGCAAGCCACTTCTGGGAGGGCATTCCATCGTTTGGGGGCCACGCATGAAAAGACCCCATTCATGGATCACCTCCGTGAATCTTGGTGACCGGCAAGCCCCACTCAGAGGTGAAGTGTGGATTGTTATTAAACCGTGGTTGCTTGTTGAAACCTGGCTTACCGTGTTGTCTACACACAGTTTTTTTTTTTTATTTCGATTTATATCCTGCCTTTTTTCCTACAGAGGGCTCAAGGCAACTTACATCATTCTCCTCCTCCATCTTATCCCCACAACAACCCTGTGAGGTAGGTTGGGCTGAGAGTCTGTGACTGGCCCAAAGTCACCCAGTTGGCTCCATGGCTGAGCGGGGACTTACAAGTCATGATTTAGTCACTCTGCACAACCCAGGAAGAGAAGCCACGGTTTCTTATTGGCTTGTTGACCATGGTTTGTTTTCTCATCTGGGTTCAAATGACACAACAACCTCCCCGTTTTATTTATAAAATGTTGCCATATTTTCTTACTGGTTGCTTTGTTTAACCCGCCACGAATGCTTCTGGGGGGGGCATTTTCTGCTTTGCTACCACCTGTGCCTGTCCAGGATGGTTTCTCAAGTATCCAGGTGTGCCCACAAGCTCAGAGTGCCAATCTCAGGCGATCCAATTGCCATTCTCCATATTTCAACTCCCTCCTTGTGCACTGAAATTTGTAAATAGCAATTGGGCACATCTTCATTGCTATATTTGCATAGAATTGCATCTTCACAAGCACCTAGAGAAAGCCCTTTCCATTTTTCCCCCTTAAATTATTTGCTTCTCCAGAAAAAGAATAAGTTTAATTCTGGCTTTTTCCCAGATCTTCACATCTTTGTGAACACCAGAGTGACTTGAAATGCTCAACCTACCATCAGCATTAGGTGGTAATGTCTGACGTGCAGATAACTTGGTTTGTCTTTTAATAGAAACCTGGCTGATTTTCAGCTCCTAAGAAGAGAAGTGGAACACAATTATGCTTTAATAACATTTTGGGCACTCTCCCCAATTTTAGAGGACGGAAATGATTGCATTTCTATTAATGGCGTCTTCCTCTCTCTCTCTCTCTCCCCCCCCCCCCACCCGCCCTTCATGTCTCTTCTCGTTCCTCCCTAAATCCCACCTCCCTCCAGAGGAAAACGAAAAACATGAGAAGTTCCTCTTGGAAGGCGAACAAGAGCAGAAGAAGGCCACTTTGCAGAGAATTAACCATACCACGCACCCCAACGAGCTGCGGAATGAGAGGGCGGTGGTGCCCCTTTCCCCGCCAGCCCCAGTGGCCCCCCCGCCCGCACCCATGCCGCTCGCCACTCCGATCTCCGTCATCCCCATCCCAGTGGTCACCAGCCCCCCTCAGCCTGGGGCCCAGAGCACCTTGTCCCCCCCACTGATCCAGCGCCACCCGCCGCTCCTCAGCACCCCGTGCCTCAGCAAGGACCCCCCGCTGGTGGCGCCCGTGATCCAGAAGGCCTCTGGCCCACTGCTCCCGGATATCAAGGCCCCCACGCCCCCCTCCGGCAGCCCGAGCCAGCTGCCCCATTACGCCACCCCCGTGCTGGCCATCTCGCACCACCACGTGGTCCAGCCGCCCGCCCACCAGCTGAAGCCTCCCCAGGTGCCGCCTCCGCCACTCAGCGTCAAGCTGGCTCCGTCGGAGGACCCCAAGCCGAGCGAGCAAAAGAAGAGGCCTGGAGGGTAAGTGGGTGCCTTTCGCTGCTCGGGCGACGCCGCTCCTTCTCCCAGCGGAGGCGGAGAAGCAGTCCCAGCACGCCCGGCTCTGGCCGCTCAGCTCTGGGGGAGCGTGTGCCCAGGAGGGAGAACTCAGCGGGTGCTGCGGGGAAGTCCGGAATCGAGTGGCAAAGCTTGGGGGCCTCGGGAGGCGCTTGGTTCCGGCTCCCCGCAGCCGAAGCCAGCGTGGCCCAGGTGCAGGGTGATGGGAACCGTGCATCTCCGGCCTCTGCAAGGGCACAAGGGCTTCCACTGCTGGCCCAGGAAAGGCCACAGCCTGTCGGGATGGCCGGGTCTCTAGACTGGACCTTTTCCCAATGTTTTAAGACCTGATTGTTTTAATTGGGGTTTTAGTGTTGGTTGACGCTGTGTTTTATTTTGCATCTTGCATTGTTAAACCATCCCGAGGCTTCAACAATGGACGCTTCCAAAAAAGTTTTAAGCAAATCACTCCGTTTCCCCCACTCTTGGTGCCTTCTGGGTGCATTGACCTGCAGCGTTCCTATCCGGCCCGTGACTGAGCCAACACAGTACCAGGAGCGAGTCTCTAGGGTTTTCTTTAATCCTGTCCTCCGTAGCATCGCTCTTAAACTGTAGATGCTCCAGGCCTAGCCTAGGCCTTTCTGTGTGCAAAGCCTCATTGAAAGGAGCCACAGCACTTTTTCCACAAGATGCGCCTTCAGGGGGTGTGGAGTTTGAATTCAGGAAAGGGACGGGCCCGTTCTTGTTTTCCTTTTTAAAGAAATAGATGAGTCTGAAAGGGGATCACCCAACCTTGTGTTGGAGCGCTCACCTGGTTACCACGAGTGACAAGAAACTGCAGGTAGGCGAGAGATGAATACTGGAAATGGAATCCAGGTGAGCGTCGTGTCTGTCCAGATTAAGAATCACACTTTCTGCTTACCCAGGAGAGAAACCAAGTCAGCTGCTAGAAGAATGGCGGAACTTTCCATCCCGCCTGTCCTTTTCTCCTCTGGGGTGGAAGAAAGGGTGGAGGGCTCATAAAATACAATCTCGATTCAGGATCTTCTAGACATTGAGGTCAGTCATTACTGGAGTCCTCATGTTCAGATATTGCTCTTGCGCCTGGTTGCATAATTGGATTGGACTGGGAGAAAATGGAACTATTTCCAGTTTTCTGCCTCGAACTGTTCCCCTAGCGAGCTACAAGCTGCACTCTCCTGGTAGGCTAGTAAAAAGGTTTCCTGGCTTATAACTTTACTTGCCCTCTGCCCTCTGAAGCACCCGAAAAGTTCATTCACTGGGTCGAACAAGTCTTCAAATCATTTCAAACGCAATGAGCACATGTTAAAAACCAGCAGCTGCATCGACCTTAGGATAAAATGCTAGCATACGAATATCAACATTTTTTACAAAGACATGCCTTTTAATAAAGAAAGGTTCATAAGCCCAGTGAGACTGTGGGCTTATAAATTAAATTTATGCATAAATTAAAACAAAACCTGTGAAACGGCTTCTTTAATCCGGGAGGTTTCTTCCTTCTCCTTTCCCCCTAAACTGGCTGCCTTAATTGCACACAGCCAACTCGCTCGTTCACAAGCTGATTAGATTCGTGTAAGAGAAAATTCCACTTCCTGGCCTCTGGGCTGAGCTCATATTAATAACCAGAAATCCAAAACAGGGAGGCGACTGGCTGGGGTTTAGTTCCCTGAGCACAGAATATTTTGGCAGAATCTCCGGGACGCACTTCGTTCTCCCCACATTCAGCTCACGAGAACGGCCCGGATAGTCCTTGGTGACATCCCGTCTTGGGCACGATCATTTCCAATCTCGGTCCCAGTGCAGTTGGGCATCCCTTATTTTGTGGGAACGTGTCCCAAGAACAGGGTGTACCTTTGGGCTCTGTCCCAAGAAGTGCAGATCGTGGTAACTCCCTTTGGAAGCAGGCTGGAAAGATCCCCCTGGGAGGCCGAGCGCCACAAATGTGACAGCGAGTGTCAAGAACAAGCAAAAGCCTCACCTAGAGGAGAGGACTGGACACACCAGCCTCCTGAACTGGGTGGGTTGGGCTATTCCACCGCTTTGTAGGAGCAATCCGTTGATTTACTCAGTGGTCCTTCCCTGGGTTGTGCTTCCCGGGACGAAGAAATCGTACTGCCATTCTTCCCTCTGAAGGCAGAGGAATTCCACCCTCGCCGCTTTCTGTCGGGACGGCAGCCGTTGGCCTGGAGTTGGGGAATAGGCAGCCGGGCTACCGAAATGAAGCACCGAGTCTTCCGGGGGGAGTCCTCTTGTATGGCTCCCGTACCTTTTCCAAGCCAGTCCGAGAGCTTTTGCTTCCCCCTGGACTTTCTTGCTGTCAGTTTTTGCTCCGTTCTTTATGCTGAACGTTTATTTGTTTTTCAGAAGCAAGCTGGTGCCGGCACTGCTGTTTTTTTTTTTTTCATTTTTAAAAAAACATTTATGCGTTCGGATGGGACACTGCTCTGGTAGGCTCTGAGCCCAAGAGTGGCTTACAAACACTGTGGAATAAAGGAAAATGCCGGCACTGTTGGTAAAGCTAGTTTGAGGCAGGGGTCTGGCTGTGGAACCCCAACTGCCAGGGATGCACTGCCGTTCCAGCTTACTAAGAAACCGCCCAAAGGGTCAAGGGAACTTTTAGCTTTTCCTGTCACTGTTCCAACAGCTTCCCTCCCTGTTCCCTTTGGACTGCAAGACACGCAGGCTGCAATTTGGCAGATGGATGGTTTTTGGGGCCCTGCCTATCAGGGCTGTTGTTGTTCTGTTAAAATGTTCAAAGGAAGAAAAAGTCAAGTATTAAATGCAGCTCACCGGGTGCGGGGCGGGGGGCGGGGTTGTATGGGAGGGACACGAAAGAGATTACTAAAATTCTGGAAGATACATTGAGAATGGCTAGATCAGGGTGGGCAATTTCTGCCAACAGCAGCCGCTCAAGAATGAAAGCTGCTCTGCTTTTCTCCTCTCTGACGTGGATAGCTGCCAAAATTTGGGGGTGAACAGCCGATCTTTTTGGCAGCGGAAACGCAGCTTACTGGTAAAGGCCAGTGGGGGGGGGGGTGGAACTAGCCCCTGACCCCACCCCACCCTCCTCAACTGGTTTATTTTTCCCAATTTCTTAGAACAGTGGAAAGTTATTCAGTACAAATTATAGGTGAGATACCCAGGACAGACAAAATCCTCCGTTGTATAGACCAATAATCTATTTGTGGGATTGAATGACACAAGCTGCAGCAGTAGATGCAAAGGTTTAGCTCAACATTAGCAATTTATAGGGACTCCAACTTCGGATGCTAGCTGTAGGGTGCAAATAGTAGGTTTTAAATGGAGTAAAATTGTATGAAAGCTTGGAAAAATGTTTGAAATCAGGCGAGTTGGCCCCAAGCATGCAAAACTCAGCCGTTCAGCAGGAATGATCTGTGTTGCCAGGCCGCAGAAGTTTTTGTGTTATTCGTGCGCCATGGAGTTGTCATGTCCCTTCCCCAAGCTGAATTCAGGAAGAGCAACAGTCCTCTTCAGGGGTGGAAATATCCCGGCCTCTTCCCTCTCTTTGTAGCTATAAGTTCGCTGGCAGGAACAGAAAGTTGCCACCAAGGCAAAGGAAGGTAGTCGGTGATGCCCTTGCCTGCCCGTGTCGAGCAGGGACGTCCTGGTCCATTGATAAATCGCCACCTCTGTTTGGTCCCTTGTTGAGATGCTGCTCTGTGTGTTAGCAGACTTGAGCTCAAACGATTCCGGAGGCTTCTGCCGAGAAGGGCTTTTCTGGGTGTCTCTGGACTCCCAGGAATTGGAAGCCATTCTGTGAAACCTCAGCTGGAAATCCATTTATAAAATGGCTTTTAAAAAATGAGAAAGAGTAGGTGTGAAGGGTGGCAGGTCAAGATCCAGGGTTCCCTGCGGCTTTGCTTCAGTTGCTAATATTTTTCGGAGCAGGTTGTTGCATCCAGACTGGTTTGGAAAGGGCATCTTCCCCCTCTTGGTGGGAAGGGGGCTTGCTGGCTTGTTTCTGCCCTGGCCAAGGAGTTGAGGGGTCAGCCGGTTCCCCTGTCCGATGGCTTCCAGTCTCCGTGAGCCAGGGGTGTTGCCGTGTGTCCTTCTTGTGGGCCAGAAGGGATCTTGCGGGCCATTGTGGTGGAGAGCAAAATTACTCCAGCATTCATTGTTCCAGCCCCTCAGAAGGCTTGGGGAAACGGCAAGAAATCGGCAGAAATGCACACAGTTTTCAGGGGTGGGGGTCAAAACTGGAGGAGGGGAAGGGAAATGGCATTGGCCGTGGTGAGGGGGTGGGGGTGATGGGAGCGGGATTCCAAAACATCCCAAAGCACCGATTTGGGCAGCAGCAATTAGGTGGGTCGTTGGCTTCACTCTCCAGGAGAAATGTTCATATATTCATCCCCCCCCCGGCCCCAAATCGTAGAGTCTGTATTGCATTATTCAGCAGCGTAAGCATCTGTCTCTAAATTAAGAAGGCAAAACCCATCCAGTTGGAAATGTCTTTGCAGCATGAGAGTTTTGCGATGCTCTGGGCTGCCTGCTGGACACCTTAGCCCCCCCCCCCCCGTTTCTCTGCAGCCGCACCAAACGTTGCAGTATTCTGTGGTCAGGACACCGGTCTCCTTTGCTGCCATGCACAAAAGGAGTCCTTTTGTGGCGCTTGCTAGCAGCACGCATTTTTCTCAGCCAGTCGGCTGCACATAACTGATGCATTGGTTGCCCTGGCAACAGGGATGTGGCAATCGGGGCGCCGCACACGTCATGAGCATCTGTGAAAACATGCGCTGTGATGCGGGACCATGTGTGCGCGCACGCTGTTCTGGGGAAACCCAGGTTCTGGAATGTGTATGAATCATGTAAGTGATACGGAGAGGCTCATGCACCCACTCTGGTTCTCGTTCTCTCTCTCTCATACGCACACTTTTATTGCACGGAGCCCTGAAATTTGGAAATGGAGCCCCCAAGTCTTTTGCACGGTTATCTGCATTTGGAAACATCTGAGTCTAAACCAGAGAGATTTTCCAAAAGCTGACTACTTTTTTTCTTCTTCTTTTGGCTTTTAGGGTTGGCACCAGGGAAGTCCATAATAAATTGGAAAAAAACAGGTATGTAGCTTTTTTTAAAAAAGCTGGCCAAATCTTGGCCAGTTTTGCACGCAACTAGTAGATATTTTGGTTTTCTAGACAAGTAGTTGTACATCTCTGGTTCCCGGGAAAGTCAGGAAAGGTGGGTGGGTTCCTTGAAAGGTAAGAACCGCAATTTAGACACCACACCAAACCGGTTTGCACAAACCATAGTTGACAATCCAAACTCTGGTTTGTACTTCCAAACAACCAACAGACAAGGCAAGGATTTCACTACTGTTTGCATTTTGTTGTTTTCATTTGCCCAATCCTCTAGTTTGCAATTGCTTTTGTAAGTCTTAGTTTGTAAGTTCCGAGTGATTCTGGTCACTGGCCTGTTGTAAACCGTGGTTTGTCAATGCAGAGATCAGCTTACATTGTGTTTCTTCAGCTGTGGGTTGGTGTTCCAATTTTGCCAGGTTCTCTTATTTTCCTCCTCCCCACTTGGAATGTGCAGGAGCTTTGGGGCAGTCCCAGGGCACAGACACACAGGCCATTAAGGGGGAGAAGCTAGGCCCAGTAAGTCTGGCTGGCATGCCTGAGAAATCGAGAGTGCCAGTGTGGTGTGATGGTGGGCGTGTTGGACTGGGGCCATCGGAGATACGGGTTTTGGTGCTACTTGACCATGTAGCTCACAGGGGTGACTTTCGGTCAGCCTCTCACTCTCAGCCTAACCTACCTCGCAGAATCGTTGTGAGGATAAAATGGAACTCTATGAGCTGGCCTGGAGTTCCTCACAAGGGGATGTAAATTTTAATCTCGAACATGAAGATGGTGATGATGATGCAGAGGATGCCGTCAGCTTCCTGTTCTTCCCATGCCTTAACTGCATCTTTTTCAGTTTAGCAACTCCTCATTCCACATCCCAGTTTATCCTTCCCAGTTTCACCCATTTTTCTCACCTGCTGCTTGTGCCCACGTCTTTGCTGTCCCCCCAGACCCCTTTTTCTAGTCCTCTTCTCTGCTCTTTCCCAAGTGGGAAGGAACAGGAAGGCCATTGCCAAAGCATCCTGCACCTAGTTGTTAGGTCTTCACTTTTAAAAGCCCCCGCCAAGCAAGGCTTAATCTCAAATCCATTGTGCTGGTGTGACCCTCAACATTATCCCCACCTTCTGCTAAACGGGCGACCTGGGGTTTGTTTCTGCAGACGTGCGCACCTGAAAGAATGCTTCGAGACCCTTAAACGAAATATCCCCAATGTCGACGACAAGAAAACCTCAAACCTCAGCGTCCTAAGGAGTGCCTTGAGATATATCCAGGTAGGAAAATGCTGGTTTATTTCTTTACTGGCGAAAGATCACGTTTCCGTGTGCAATGCTGCATTGGTCAAACGAGATGCATCCTTTTAAGAGAAACATTTCATCTTTTTTATTTTGGGTGGGGAGCAAGGAAATGGGGGAAAGGAACATGGTGTGCTACGGAGGAATGTGGCAGAAGGATCTTCTCCACCACTGGTCTCCTTGATAGGGAATTTGGGGGTCATCCAACAAAAGCAACATTCCGGAGATTGGGACAGGCCAAAGGAAAGGGGGACTTCTTCCTGTTGGGTATAATTTAATGTACAGAAATGAACTAAGATGCGGTTGGTGACTCACTGGCTTGGTGGATGTCTTCTGCGTGATAGGACTTGCCGGAGGCATCGCCTGATCCTCCGGGCGGCTGGAGGGTTGGCTTTTGTGGGCACAAAATGGGAAACAGACAGTGCTCCGGAGCAGCGTAGCTCTTCATCGGTTCTCATGGGAGGGTTTGACAAAGTTGACTTCAGCGCTGTAGTGAGATGCAGCCTCTGCGTTCGTGGGAGGCGTTGAGAGAGCACCTGTGATGGGTCAGAGTTGGCTCCGTCGTGAACTGCTTGCTGTTGGCCTTCTGGATGGGCTTGATCATGAGAAGCGACAAGGCAGACTAAATGATCTCTTGAAACGGGGTCAACAGGTCTGCCTTTCTGCCTGGCTTTTGGCTGACATGGCATTATCCTGGAGTCACTTAATGAAGGATATGTTGCTCTGAAGTTGAGGCTTTCTATCTGTGGCAGAGGAAATGTAAAGGCACAATTGCAGGGGTACAGCTCCCAGCCAGCCTAAATTTATAGGGCTTTTAAATGTTTGGTTTAAACATGCATAAGGCTGCCCCCAAATCGCCCTGGCCAAAATACTTTGCCGAAGTATTTTCAGCAGGTTTTTGCATTTATTTTTTCCAAAATGTTTGGCTTAGAGATCAGGGCAAGCCCGGTTGTACATTAACCCTCATCTTGAGCCTTGGGGCAGCTCCCGACCTTTTCTACTTCTGGCCAACCAGCAAACTTTCTTCCAAAAGCATCAGGGGAGACTTCTGTCCCCCGAAGGCTTCTTTGATAGAATCGCCAACCAACCCAAGGTCCTGCATCTCACCCCTTCCTAACAGACATAGGGTTATTTTCCAATAACTGCAAGAGATCAGCAGCAGTGAATATCCGAATGTTGTCCTCAGATGCCTAGCCGGCATAATCCATGTATCCGGGAAGCCAAAATATAATCCTTGTTGCAGGAAAAGTAATTTTCCATCCACACTGTCCCCTGCTTGTTCCTGCCACCCTCTCTCTGCTCAGAAATTGTTAATTTCTTGGAACAGAAAATCAAGACTTTAATCCCCTTGGCTATAAGGTATTGCTGCAGTTGTCAGTTGACTCTCCCTCCGTAATGAGAGGGCATGACATCCTGATGGCTCAGGGATTCTCTCCTGGCTTCTGGAATGGGTTCCCGTCTGAACTTGGGAAAGGTGAAGCCCTCGCAGCTGGATTGGGGGATGCCATCCTGTTCTCGTCGTAGGTCTGAGTACGTCTGGAGAAGAGGGGAATCTTGAATGTGTGGATGGAGTCTGTGTGTGTCTTTGAGGGTGGGGATTCTGCTTTTCCAGGGTTCCTGATCAGGGGCAAATAGAAAGGGTGCCTTCAGGGAAGATTTCTGGCTGGGATCGGTCTCAGCTTCCTAGTAGCTGAAACTTTTAGAGTGAATGCTGATGCCTTGATGCAGGGCGCTTTCACCTTGTGGTCCGCCTGGCCCTGAACAGACAAGGGGGTTTAGAGCAGGCCTTTCTCAGCCTGGTGCTCTGCATTGTTTGGACAGTAGCTTCCCACATTCCTGACCATTGGCCACTCTGGCTGGGGCTGATAGAACCTGAAGTTCAAGCCACCAGGTTGGGGAAGGCTGCGAATGGTATTTCCAGTGACAAGAGTCCTCTATTTCCTTTCTTCGTGGCTAGCAAAACCACAGTTAATGCAGCAGAATAGGACTGGGAGAGAGACTGAGGTGTGAGGACTGCGAGAGGCCAGAGGCAAAGCTGCGCAAAGCAGGCCAAACGTGACTTTGCTGGAGAAAGAGCACAAAGGTTTGGCTGGATTTCTCAGAGCACAAAGGTTTGGCTGGATTTCTCAGAGCACAAAGGTTTGGCTGGGTTTGTTTTTGGCAAAATCTAGGCATCTCTCCCCAAGTGCAATGTGGGAAATGTATTGTGCTGCAAAAGGTGTGAGGAGGTATAGCATCTTGGTCTTTCCCCCTGGCAAAAAGCAAAAGTTGCCACCCAAGAGAAGTAAGGATGCTCACGTTATCCCCCGTGTGTGGAAAAGGGTTGCAGTCTTCTGTAGATCATACCAGTGCTGAGTTTTGTGAACTGTCTTTTTGATGTGCTGTTAGTCCAAGCACATCAGAAAAGCACTTTTGGGTCCCAGAAGTATTTGACTGCTTACTGTCAGAAACTATACGCTGGGGAGACAGAGGCAGAGTGCAGAAACTAGAGGAAGGCTTTCCTAATAGAATACAATCGTACAAAAGGCTGTTGAAGCAGCAGAACTCACACAGACCGGCATACATCCTGCCAGTACAGAGAGGAGGGCATTCCAGAGAAAGGAAAAGGCCCTGTGGCTAGTTAGGGCAGTAGCCCGAGTCTGTTGCTTTGAGAGGGAGCCGTGTCTTAAAGATCCCCACGGTTCCCCCCAGCTTACGGTGTTGGCCCGGCTAGCTTAAAACCCTCAGCACCGGTCAGATGCATGGGAAGCCCGTTGAGGCAAGTTACCCTTTTGGGAGTCTGGTTCCTCTCCTCCTTTGTGCCCCTGCATTTCGGGCAAGCTCTAGCTTTTACGTGCTTTGGCCCTTTTTTTGTGATGCCAGGCCAGGTTATCTGAAAGAACAGCAAATCTGGTATGTACCTACCTGGCCCTTAGGCATCCAGCGGGGTCCTTCTCAGTGACCAGGAAAAAGGGTCTTTTTGGTTGTGACACCTGTCTGGAGAATAAGCTCCCCAGAGAGGTACACCTGGAAAAAAGAGAAGGGGCCAGGTGGAAACCTTTTAATTCTCCAGGTATCTTAATGGCTCGTGTTTAATCTTTTGTTGTTTTTATTAACTATCGCTGTTGTGCTCACGTGCCAACCTGATTAACCGGCCGGGATGCTGTCCTTGTCTTTATATCAGCTTCCTGATTTTTTTTGTTTTATTGTAATGGGGTTTTCTGTTTTTTGTTTCGGCTTTTAACTCGGTCTGCTTTTAACTGTGCAATCTGCCCAGGGAGCCGAAAGTGAAGTAAATATGTACGTGTTTATGCACACAAGTGTGCATTTGTGTGTGGGCCGCCATGTGTGCACGTGCACTCCAGACACATGTGCCGCTTTGCAACCAGGAAGGAGTCTTTCTGTAACCTGCAGGGCGTTCTGTTCCTCTGGTGCCTTGCCTGCGTCTCGCTGCCAACGCGCCTCCCGTCCTGCTGGCCCAGGACCGGATTCCCGAAAGGTTTCACTTCTGATTGGTCCCCAGCACCGCTGGAAGACAGCCGCGTGCGCTTTTCCCAGCCCCCTTTCCGAAATGGCAATCGGACCTCCCTAGCGGGCCGGCTTGGCACTGCTCCACGCGCCATTTCTGGCGCGCACACGATTTCGAGGTGCCGCCGCTCGCTCGGGTTTCCTGGCCCCTCTCGGCGCAGAGGCCCGGGGGGGGGGGAGGGCGAGTGCTGGGAAAGGAGTGGGGGCGGCGCACGCGGCACGGCTCCCCCCGCCCGGCGGCCGAAGGTCACCGTGGCCGCGTGGCCTGCTGGCCCGGCCCTGCCCTGCCCGCCCCGCCCCGGCTCCATCCGGCACTCTCCCGCCAGCGCATCCACGTGTACAGCGAGCACATGGCCAGCCGGCCCGGGTGACGTCACCAGGGCTGCCCGCCCAGGCAGGAACGCCAGCTGAGCCGAGCCGAGCCGTGCGTCGGGGGGGGGGGGGGCCGCCCGCCCCCTGCTGGCGGACGGGCGCTGCTGGGCGGGGGGCGGCGGGGCGGCCTGGCCCGCTTTTTTGTCCCCCGGGGGTCGGGCGCGCCCCCCCCCCCCCCCGCTTGCATCCCGGGATGCAAGAAGCAGGGATAGTCGAAGGGGGTTCCTGAAGCGGGGGGGGGGGCCCTCCAGCTTGTGCTTGTGGTTTCCCGCTGCAGGCGCCATCCGCGCTCCACCCTGTGCCTTGCCGGAGCCCCCGAATCCGATTCGCTGCCGCTAAGCCCCTGTAGGGCCGCGGGCTGTAAAGTGCGTTTCCTGGGAGTAGGTTCTCAGCGCAAGGATGCGCAGCCCTCCTGGGAGTTGGGCTCTGCACTTGGGGCTGCTTTTCCGCCCAATGAACTGCCTTCCCCGTCCTTTTCTCCCTTCGCTTTAATTTTTCAACGGTAATCGGTTTTGTAACGAAAAGGGTCAGAGAAACAGCCCGCAGTGCGTATGCCTTTATTCCTCACCCTCTGAGGACACGGCCCTGATTTTCCATCTCCTCCATGAATTGAAAAAATAAGAATATCCACACGGCTCTTCGTTTTGGCCACAGGTTTTCAGTTGTGCTGAATGAGTGCACGTTTTGCAAGAAAGGTTTGCTAAAGAGTTTTCTTTAGGAGCGTTCTTTCCAACAAAATCACATAAACCCTGCTGTTTCTCAAATCTTGTTCTCCCCGGTATTCGCAGTGTGGTGTGGTTTTGAACAGCGCAAGGCTGGGACTCAGGAGCTGGGTTCTAGTCCCCACTCAGCCATGGGGTTCACTGGGGGACTTTAGGCCAACCCAGCCTACCTCGCAGGGTTGTTGTGGGGTAACCAAGAGGTGGAGGAGAATTCTGTAAGCTGCCTTGAGTTCCTTGAAAGGGAAAAAGAGGGCATATAAATAGAATTAATAAAGGAATTAATAAAATTGTTAAAAACTTCAGCCTACACTTCGTTACTCTCTGAAGAATTCACTCTGTCTGTTACTCTTGTTAGCAAAAGGGAGGGCAACATGTTGA